TACTACTTCATGCGAGCATAACATGGTGAAAACAATCAGTCTAAATTAACAATCGGGACGGAAATGTTCGGATTTCCAAAGGGAGGTTCTGTGAATAAATTAAAAATCAAGAACCGAAATAATTGAACTATTCATATCTTAGACTGCACTGTAACTTTTATCTTTCAATGTTTATTTTATTAGCTTTTCTTTTTAATGACTGGTTTTAAATGCCATTTTCTTAATGTCTTTCATTTTTCGTTTATCTTTTACTGTTTTTAAATGCCTTTGTCTGAATGTCTTTCATTTTTGTAAAGCACCTTGAATTGCCTGGTGCTGAAAGGTGCTATATAAATAAACTTGCATTGCCTTGCCTTACTTGTCAGCATAGGTGGGCATTGATGTACAGAGCCGACAGAAGACCGTGTTTATATTGGCATCATATTGAGCGGTGCAGCCAGTGACGCATCCTAAAACCAGGAAGTAAGCTGCTGGTTCCCTCCACAAAAAGCAATGGGATTTCTCCACAGGGTTTTGGAAAATAGCTGGAAATAAGGTCTGTGGAAAACAAACCTGTTTGATAAATGCACGTTTTGTTCAGCCGGATAATCTCCACATGTCTACCCTACTTCTATAATTTTCTAATCGTAAATCTAATCGATAGATTATAAAAGGGTTTTAGGATGCGTCACTGCACCACTAGAAGCCAACTCCATCGATCAAGCTGGCTGTAACTTTCTCTCCCTCTTCTTCTCATGCTCCCTGTCACTCTCCTTTAACTCCTCCGGTGACTTTCTTTTATTTGAAGATTGTTTTTTGCCCGGCTACCGCTGGTATTAAAAACATTTGTAGCGAATGGTTAGGTGGCGCGATAGTCTGTAGTGAAGGAGCGCGCTCCCGCTCACGGGAGCCTGCTCGCGATGCGCTCCGCAGCAAACAGCTGTTTGCTTTTCACCCAACAAGACAACCGACTCACCACACGGAACGCTGTTGTAGCGTTGATAAACGAAACAATTTAACTACATTTCTAGTCAAAATACCAATACCACAGGACCATTTTTTTAAAGCAATATTTGTAGTGGCCCGAGCGGGCAAGTGGAAAGTAGCCTACGTTATGCTGGCCCGGGGTGTCGAAATAGTGCTTCCGGGCCAGCGGGCCATTTATAATGCCGAGCCCTGCCGGTTATCGGCCGGCCCACATCGTCCGACCGGCCCACTTCAGTACCGGCCCATCGGATTCGTCCCGATGGCCAGTCCGCCCCTGACAGTTATGGCGGCAAATCTGTCATAAATCGCGAGGGCATATGAGATCCACGCGAGCACAAGTCAAGCAGCCGCGGACGTATATTATTTTCGCGAGCACTGAACGGCACTCGCGGGAGAGCAATATTGAAGCCTGCACATGCATCACATGCGTCAATATTGCTCTCGCGCGAGTGCCGTTCAGTGCTCGCGAAAATAATATACGTCCGCGGCTGCTTGACTTGTGCTCGCGTGGATCTCATATGCCCTCGCGATTTATGACAGAGATTTGCCGCCATATTTGGCCGCTTCATAGAGCATATTTTCCTAAGTAGATTGATTAAAATAGCTTTTTTTAATATGAAATAAGGTATTTCCTAACACCTTAATGTAATTCTGAGGCTACTTCATATTTTTCTATATTCGATGCTTCCAGAATAAACTGTCATAAAAAGCCATGTCTGTCCTGCCTATAGACCTCTACAAGATTCCTGGGCTGCGTAAAGTGTAGTTGCTTTAATCATGGAACAATAAATAGCAAGCTAATTTTGTCTGTACTTAAAGTGGACCTATCATGCTATATTTGAAACATATATTGTAGGGCCATACCTATATAAAGTATATAAATATATATATTTTTTCAAAATACCAAACAGATCCTGCATTTTAGCCATGCCTCATTTCGCTCCATTTGTTCTTTCCAGCCCTGTTTTTGCAAGGGGCTGATTCTGTGAGCTGCAGCTGACCACGCCCCCCTGCAGGAGAGGGGAGTTGCCAGTTCCTTTGGCATTAGGGCAGGGATATCTAGATACTTTCCAAGGTTTGACATAATGAATTGTGCTACTTTTAAAGCAAGCAGCGATGTTTTCAAATCTGTTATCAAAAAGCTCGTCAAAAACGCTATCGAAGCAGTTCCTGCCGTTGCTACGTTAGTTCAAACAGTAACAACGGACTATTTTTCTTAGCGGATGCATGTCAATTTAAATCAATACATACAACTAGGGTTGGGTACCGAGAACCGGTTCCGGTTCGGAACCGGTTCCAACATTTCAATTCCAACGGCATCATTTAGAAATGTGAATTTCGGTTCCGCTTTTCGATGCCTGAGGAAATGTTTCTCGCCGCTCTCCGTAACCTACTGTATGACTGCAGCGGGGCGGGAAATGTAGCGTTGTACCTACACTTCCTACAGCGTAACCATGTTCTCCTAGGGCGCCAGATCTGTGGAGGCGCTGCGCTGACAGCTCTGGGAGGGAAACAAAAAGTTTTGACCGTTGGGGCTCATCCTAATTTTCGGCCTTGATGTAACAACATTCATAATTAAGTAAATGTAACACCCTTTTCATCCCGGTTACACTTTTCATTTGCCCTGTACGATGGGCGCTGTAAGTGATGAAAATGGGGGATGTTGGCTTATCTGGCGCCCGCAGCTCACAGCCAAAGTGCGAGTGAGCGTGGGAGCGAGGGAGAAAGGGAGGGTGCACCGGTACGCGCTGTTGTTATTAGCATCTGGTGCTAGCTGCTCTAACGGAAGAAGAAGATGTTTCTACAATGATGTGGAGGGAGAGTCCTCTCCAGTCAGACTGAGAGGCTGATAACTACAGCTCAGTGAGGTAACGGACTCTCAGTGTTTAGATAGTTCACTTTAGTCTTTATGAGTCTCAAACGTTTTGATCACAATTTATGTAAACACATATTTCCAAGGCACTCCTTTCTAATTATTGGGTTAAAACAGGTTTGAAATCATTCCAATGTATACTATAGGACAGTAAACCAGACATATCGTTTTAAACTGGAGAGATAACAAAATATGCATAAATAAAATTGTAAAATAAGATATGAATGAACAACAAAAATAAAACACGTTACATGTATTTTCTATTGGCTATGGGTTATTGGTTATGTTCACATACTTATTTAATTATTAAAATGTAAACCGATCTTTTTCATATGGGTGTTTAGAGTTGTACCCCCTAGATCTAGTCTCTAGTCATTCTGCTTAAAGTGTACCAGATTGAAGCATTTTACTTTAAAATGTTCAAACATTTCTTCCCGGTATGCCTGAGAAGGCAGATATACTTGTTTTTCTCAATAAGAACTATTCTTTAAAAGTTGGACTGTTGCACTGTTGTAGCTTCAGTGGTTCTCAGGTTACAGTTACATAGCAGTGAATATAAACAGACTGATTAATGTGAATATTACTGTAAACTAACCTGTGTAAAAGTTTCTCGAATAAATGTAATTTTTTTGGTGGAAGAAGCATGTATCATTTGTTTACCCTGCCCCTCAAAGAATCGGAATTGAGAACCGTTAAGAACCGGAATCGAAAAGTGGAATCGGAATCAGAATCGTGGAAATTCAAACGATACCCAACCCTACATACAACTATTTTCTAAATCCATAAAAGCATTTCAATTAATATTGGGAGTCATGTAATAAGCAGGATAATGTGCAGCGACGCGGTCATTATGGGGAAAAGAACACCGACAGGCTGATCAGGAGCCCGACGCGAAGCGGAGGGTTCTAGATCGGGATGAAGGTGGGCGGGACTAAGACGAGAGGATAGGTAGAGGAGGGGGATTATATAAATGGGAAACCTTCAGAGAATCAGCACTTTTGAAACGGGGCTGAAACAGAGGGGATTATGGGATGCTACAATGATCTGTTCGGTATTTCGAGCCAAACACTTCAGAGACATGTTTTATATCTGAGAGCTATAATATATTGATGAAAAAGAGTATAATAGGAGACCTTTAAATAGAATACCATCAGTGGCGGCTGGTGGAAAATATTTTAGGTGGGGCTGTGGAAATGGTGACCAAACAATACAGAAGGTCCAGTCTACAGAAGGTCCAGTTGTGATAGACACGGTTCGCCACTGAAATCAATCGATATACTTATCGGATATGCACAAACAAGCTTAGCTAACAAGCTGAAATTCCACAGATTCTAGAAATATAAGTATCATCACTGAGCGATCAGAACTCGCGACAGGGGAAGCAAATACAGACAACACACAACGTAGCTTTAGGTAGCAAAACACAGAGATATGCTCACCTTTTGCTGTTATTCTGATCAAAAACGAGAAAAACGCGGCTGAAGGTTAATCCATAGGTTAATCTAATGTGTCTGTCAGTTTAAAAAAATTATTGATAATCCATAATTCCATTTTTATGTCAAAAACGGAGTTTTCATAATAGCTGCTAATGATAGCTTCCAGAGTGTATGACAGCTTCCTGTGTTGTCTCCTTGGATACGAGTCCAAACAACTCACAGACTGCACCGGGCGCTGACGTAGGCGCCCTGTGATCATCAGATTTGACGACGCTGATTGGTTGAAATTATGTTTCGGCGGCATAGTTTAAAGATAGCAACAGTTGGCTTCTGCTGCACTTGCTGCACTCTCGTCTGGGCGCTGTGCATAGCGCCCAGACGAGAGAGGGTAATGATACACGGGCAAGGCCAGGCATGTGACTTATCAGTAACTTCAGACATCGTAACACAATTTTAAATGAGCTTTTATTGTAGATAATACATTTTACTGATACCAATTATATAATATTTACCTTGTTTTTAAAAAATAAAAAATATATTTTTTAAATATATTTTTTTTATTTTTTAATGTGGGAAGAGGGGGGGCGGCGCCCCTATGGGCCGGCCGCCACTGAATACCATGCTAAAATAAAAGGAAGTCCTCTGTCCCTGAAAAATAAGGCATATAGCAAAAAAGCCTTTACATATGGATAAGCATGTGGCAGTTAAACAGGAGATCTGCTGACCTTGGCAGGGTGCTGCTGCTGAAGGTCATCATGTTGTCGGTGGGGCCCATGGGGCTGGACGGGGTGATCACCTCCACGTCAGCACTGGCTCGCTTCATATTCATAGACGGCTCTCGGTAGGAGGCGCTCCGAGTCAGGATGTGCTCTGGTTGGTTGAGGGACAAAGTGTGGGAGGAGGTCCTCGTGATGATGGGCTCTGGTTGGCTGGGAGCCAGGGTGTGGTGACCTGTAAGTGGATAACAAGGAGAGTCACACTCCTAATGTCAAGGTTAAAAGGGGATTCTTTTACATGAATGTTCTCATCATTAAAAACATTTGATTGACCTTTTATCTATCTATTAGGGCTATTTTATATATGTTTTACAGAGTTTTTTCATCTTGAACACCAATCGAGGGTTCTCGCTCTTTCACATTCTGAAGGAGTTTCACCGCTCAGTCAGATAGCCGTAAAGTGATAAGGAAGATAAGCTTATGGAGATACATGTACAACACTTGCCAATAGTAACATCCAGGGTATACCCAGATGATCAGCTTAAACAATTGGGCTTTTCTGCCTTTGTTATGAGCAAAAACAAGCTTCTCCTCTAACGTCCACTCTGTTCTGAATGAAAGCAATTGAAAAAATAACCTGGTGCTTAAAGAAAAACTTAATATGAGGAAGAGACAATTGACAAGCTATGGTCTGCTTCCTGTTCCTTATGCGTGCACTTGTCTGTTCTTTGGTGTCATAAAGAGCTCATGAAGAAATAACGAATACAAATCATTATTTGTAGACTGCTATGTTCCACATAGAGCATGTTTTTGCAGTAGCACTCCTGATGGCTTTTGTTTTTACAACTCGTCTTTCCTAGAAGACTGAGCACTTTGCCCTATATTCCTCTTCCACAGAATAGATCTGGGCTACTCGCCATGTCATCAGGTTTTTCTACTTGGCCTCCTTTATCTCATTGGCTTCCTCTTCTTTCTGCACTGTTAATAAAACCTTTAGCTTTTATTTATTATGATTTATTATTAATGGCATATGTTGTATTCTACTCATCCCGACAATATATCTGTAATGCTGAGAGAAACCTGTCAGGCAGGGTGTTACCTTGGTGGCTGTTGCTATGTGCTGATTGGCTGACATTTGGTAAGGAGGAGAGGGGGGGCTCTCTGAGGGTCGGGGTAGGTGCTCGATTTCTAGACCGATCCTCACTCGGCTGGAAATTCCCCACAGCATACACACCCTGCATACAAGTACACACACAGAGGAGAATTCAGCAAAGAGGTTAGCACAACAAGTGATGTTGTTGACCGATGTAGAACCACACCACACAGATTGTGCTGGCAGAGTTTATTAAGTCAAGGAATTTAAATCAAATCAAAATTGGTTTGATAAACGATGGCATTTCAGTACAGAGCTGTAGTGAGACTTGGAGAAAGTGAGCTGCAGAAAATCTTTGGCTTCCACTCAACTCCATCACCTGACTAGAGAGGATTTTTTTAAAAAACACAAACTTTTTGGGTTTATCAAAAGTAAAACTGGTAATTAACACAGGAACACAGGATCGAAAATATTGGATTGGCAACGTATGTCTTGGTTCAGACATGGGAAAAACTCCCCCATTGACAGTTTTTTTTCCTACCTGTCACTATCATTACTTAGGCAAGGGATATATAATAAAAGGACAGTTAGCTGAGATTATTTTCAAATTGAATGTTAGCTAATATTATTAGTAGTGCTGTGCAACTGACATTACCTGGTCAGTGCAATGACTTTTTTTACATGTGCTACCTTTACAATTGAAGTGGTACTGGCCTCATGTGTTGTGAATGGATCAAGACGTTCCTACATCCACAACATGGTTAAACCATACACTTCAGTCAATCAGCCAATCAGCCAACCGGATCGCTACTTCCTCGCTTCTACTTCACTTTTAGTTGGACCCAGGTAACAGCTGTTTGCTATCCTGGCTCTCAAATGATTTAATGAGCTTTACATTGACATCAGGACGGCAGAAAGTCAACACATTTTCAACGCAGACTTAAAACCAACCTGTTTCCACTGCACCATGACCAATGTGACCAAAAGATATACTTGCAGGATTCTTGTTCTGTTCTGTGTTTGTATCTTTATGGTTTATTGCGCTTATAGTAAGTCACTCAAGATAAAAGCATCAGCTAAATTAAAAGTAATTTATAGTTTTTACAAAAGCACACACATCAAGACAATAGATGCCAGGTGCTGTGAAGAAGAACGTGTGAAAATACGGAAAAATATGAATCCGTGGGTGTTGCTCCCGATAAAATGTAATGAATTAGCAAATGGTGGAATGAGCTCCCCATTGAAATCAGGACAGCAGATAGCTTACACATCTTCCGGCGCTGACTGAAAACTCATCTCTTTCGACTCCACTTCGAGCGATAGAACTATTAACAAAGCACTTTTATACTAATAAAGGGCTGGCTTATCTAAAGCCAGTTGAGTAGCACTTGAAATGTTTTTGCTCTATGAAACCTGATGTACTTATATGATGCTGTTTTCTTCAAGTTGTTATCTTCTTGGTCGAACGCACTTCGTCGCTTTGGATAAAAGCGTCAGCTAAATGCAATGGCATGTAATTACCACCAGAGCTTCAAACTGAAGGAGGCTGCAGTCTTTTCAGTTGGACTCTGATGATAGATGATACGATGTCAAACAAAGAACCCTAAAATAGCCCGGTGCAGCCTGTACTGTGCACAATACTGTCTGCAGAGTTATCATCATCATACAACTGAAGATAATCAGAGGGATCATTTCCCCAGGTCAATTATACATTATACCGAGGTGCGCTACCTTTGCATAAATCATGGCTATCAAAGCATTGTCATTTGTTCCAGCTGAGCTCAAAACGTGCACAGACTTCCACTCTTTTTGCCAAGGTGAGAGAAAATGGATATTTAGCAATCAGTGCCAACAGTTTAAATGAACTTTAATATTCAAGTTGTATAAATGGTATTTATATTTTATAGATCTGTATTTTCGTCTGTTGTATAATTGTTATTGTGATAGACACTAAGTCATGTTTTAAGTGTTTTTTGATTGTCAAGTGTGTACGTATCCAAGGACTGCAGCTAAAGCCAGTGCTATAAGGCAAGGCATGGACATTTGATTTATATAGCACCTTTCAGTACGCGACAATTCAAAGTGCTTTACCAAATAAAAACAAAATACATTTAAGAATAAATACAGCATAAATACATTATGAAATGGCATTTAAAAACAGGCATAACAAAGCAAAGATAATGAAATCAAATAAATAAGCTAAAATCTGGCATCTTCTCTTTTTGAGATTAATGTATTTTATATTTTATGCAAGGTCCTTGTTGAATAAAAACCTAATAAATACAAATGTAGTATCAGGGAACTCCGCTGGAAAAATGCTTTAATTGAAGTTATTGATTCTGCATCAGCTGAAACCATATTCCAGAGCAGAGGAGGAGAAGGCATAACAACAAATATGTAGGCAGCTGAACAGGGCTGTGTGTGTGTGTGTGTGTGTGTGTGTGTGTGTGTGTGTGTGTGTGTGTGTGTGTGTGTGTGTGTGTGTGTGTGTGGTGTGTGTGGTGTGTGTGTGTGTGTGTGTGGGTGTGTGTGTGTGTGTGTGTGTGTGTGTGTGTGTGTGTGTGTGTGTGTGTGTGTGTGTGTGTGTGTGTGTGTGGGTGTGTGTGGTGTGTACTGGACATGTATCTGAGTGTGTGTGGGCTGTAGGGTGATGGTGAGTGGGAGACATCAGATATTCTGAGCCAACATCCACCAGTTTGAGTTGAACATCCATGTCTACTTTCAGCAAAGAGTTGTACTAAATAATACACTGAAATAATACAGAATTCATTTTTCTTCTACTGGGTTTTTTCTTCTGATGCTGCGTATGCTGTTCAGTCTGTAAAGCCTATTGAGGAACATGTGTCATTTGTTTAATTGGGCTATACTAATACATCTTGATTGATGACTAAAGCACATACTGTCAGTACTGACACAAACCTCAGCCGATCAGTCTCATATTTAATTTCTTTCTGGTCAAATTCACACATATAAGCACATGCCGTGCGTCTTCTTCGGATCTGCGTTTCTGCAGAAAGAACTGGTCCGCCTTGCCCGGTGTCTGTATCAGCACAACTTGCTAAACAAACAGTTAAATAACCATCTTAATGTCAGCATCTACTGTAATTCAGCAAACACGTGTTCAATAAAAGAGCCTGGCTCAAGTATTATTTCAAAGTAGCCCTATTATGCTTTTGGGGTTTTTCCCCTTTCCTGAAGAGTGTTATGACATCACTATGCAACACTTGTGCTTCTAATGGCTATAGCGCTCCAGGTTGGCCGTTTAACGGTACTCTTATCGGTTCTTTTGAAGAAAAAAAAAGATAAATTAACTAAACAAATTGGAAATAATGTGAACTTACAGAACTGTAAAAAACAAACAAAAAACAAGTATTTACTGCAAAAATACAGCGGTACAGAGCAACACAGGTGGGGCATACATGTATGCTGCAAAAGGCCTAACGGGTCTTCAATCTGGAGGAAGATTAAGTATGAAGGTAGATATGGTGCAAAATGCGAGAGCGTGTAAAACCTGATGTGAGCCAGTGGCGAACTGTGGCCATCACAACTGGACCTTCTGTAGACACACCCACCCCCCGCCGCCGCCCCCCTCCCCCACCCCCCCGCGGCATTATAATGTCCGTCTTTTCACTGAATTGTCGTCTTGAAAAGGGTACTCACAACAATTCCGCAACAACGTCATCTTCACCTGTTGCACTTGTCATTTCAACGTTAAAAACAATAAAATGGCATGAATTGCTTCGTCGCATTCATCTAGATCCTCTGTCTCGAGCCAGTGAACTAGCGGGCCTTCTAGAATACCCTGGAACCGAGGGAAACTCAGAAAGAATATGCCCATTGCCTACAAATCAATATATGATTGGTTGATCAAACTGTCAGTCCAAACGTACGCTCTCATTCAGTGCAACGGCCAGGGCATTCGATCAAGGATGTAGAATACCTTGGTTGAAGGATATTCTACCCAGAGACCCAGAACAAGATCTGATTGGTTGCTTTCTTTTCTAACACAAAACCACTGAAATGCGTAGTGCATGGTCCGAGAAGGACAAACAAATCAACGTAACACTGTAATATTACAGATCAACAACACAGATACGATTCTCATTTATTCATTTTATATACATTTTATTTATATAATTAAATCGATTTTTTGTTTGTTTTATCTGAGTGTTCCAGGGTATTCTCTGAATACCTTGAAGGCCCTGACGGTTCGCCACTGATGTGAGCGCTTGCAGAAAAAAAATCTGAGCTTGTGTGCATACATTTACACTTGTATAAAATATCCACGTAACTGTGAACCAAATGTACACTTGTATAAAATATCCACGTAACTGTGAACCAAATTTGAAGTCACAGAAGGAAAAAAAAAGTTTTGTAGCTTGTAGAAAAAAAATGAACTTAGTGATTAAATGTTCACTTGAAGACAAATACATATTTTTTAAATATATTTTCCATTACAACGGTAACTTGGTTATTACAACCTCTCAAATCAGTCATTACAACGTCACGAATCTGCTCTGTGGCAGTATAAATCGACGAATCTGCGGCCTTTACTTTTGCTACACTTCTTGCGATAAATGTGTCGCAAAAGTAATTTTCACCTGTAGATGTGGGGGAGGGAGGGGGGTTGGAGCGAAGGGGCGTAGCTATCAGAACGAGGAGGCTCGGGTCAGTCACACAGTCACAGCCACAGTCAGGTCGAACCGGATGACTGCGGGGCAAGCGGTTCGTGTCGCTACCAGTCCGCTGACATGGCACGTCAATCAACGGTAAGTTTTGCCCATTACTTGCCCAGTTTTACTTTGAGTATTATTATTGTGATTGAGGATTAAATCCGCTTTGAAGACCACCGTTTTATATCGTGCAGTTTAGCGGTAAAATAACGTCAGTCAGCCAGCTAACGCTAGCTTTGTTGAGTTTATGCTAGCTAAAGAAGTAGTGGTTGTAGTCTACAGCAGTAATTAATATATTATAGCCTACTGCTTTGGCACTAACGGTTGATAACCGTTTATGAAAATAAAACCAATTGAACTGTACTGAAATAATGACAAGTTGTATAATTGTCTTGGGCTCCTGCTGTGTTTTTAAAGCCTTTGTAAATTATCCATGCTATTTTCTATTTAGAACGAAGACTTCAGAATC